ACAAAGTTTAATAAGATAAAATATGCACCAATGAAATATAGTTTCCATATAAAGAAGACACGCAAAATTCTAATTTATTAAAAGCATAATAATAATTATAATATATGTGTATATAAAATATGCTATCAATAATGGCTACTTTTATATTAATATAATTTATAATCTGTGATTATATATGTATGAAAAATATTATGAACATACATTTTAAAAAGAAAAACAAAAACAAATAAAGCGAATACGAAAGTGCAAATATATGAATACAATTTATTAAATAGAAAAATAAGAAAAACCTATATACAGAAACAAAAATTTATAACATAATCAAAAAGCAATGAACCCCTAAACCTAAACCCTGAAATTCTAATATATAAATATATTTCTGTGTTATACAACATTTAATTTATATCATAATAAATTAATTTAAAACCGTATCAAATGTTCTATTTTTATAGATTAATAATCTTAATACTATTTATTTTAAAGCAAAATTACCAATTAATATGATATATATGTGACAACATATAAGATGAACATATAGTAATTGATTTCATAATTATATATGTAAATTTTTCTGTATAAATGATATATCACTTTTTCCGCTAATTTAGTTGTTTCATTTAAAAATTACTTTTTTATAATTAATACAAATGTATAAAATTGCAAGGAAAATCCAGTACGATGGAAATTAGTAATTATTGATAATATTTTTTATGCCTTAATAGTATATATATAGTTCTATCAAAATTTACCATTGAAAAAAATTTTAATATATAAACTAAATAATTATAAGTTAATGCGATATATACTTATTATATAAAATTGTTGCTTATATCATTAAATTTTTAGTGAAAAATGAGGACAAAGAAAAATAAATTTATATAAAAGAACATTATTTTTTTACTTTACATGTTTAAATAGGAGCAGCACATTTTGTGTTCTTGCCGATTTTTGTTCACTTAATGAAATATATATTCTATGTATTATTATATTAAACATTCAAAATATTTTATATAACGTAATTAGGATGAATGATTTTGTTTAATATTATGTTCAAAAGTAAAATATTATTTAAGTGATATTGGAAAAAATTAATTCTTGAAAAATCTCCTTTTAAAATATTATATACATTCATTATGTTAGAAAATCTAATGTTTTCGTTTATATTTTGTTTTTATTTCTATAAAAAGAGATAATATATGACAGATCAAAATACATAAAAATTTAAAATATATTATATAAATACGAATTGCTTAAATAACTGAAATTCATATTTGTATACTACTTTAAAATATTCATGGAGTTCATAATGTCTATTTTTTTCAGAAAGCAAATTTTCCACAAAATAAGTATAAGCTTCATTTATATGAGTTAAATTAAAAAATAAAAGTATATTCACATAGAATATTATATTTATTGTAATGTAAATGTATTCTATGTCTTAAATATTATTATATCAATTGTTTATTATAACAAATAGAACTGATATACATTTTTGGTAATTGATGATGTGTTTTTATGAGCTTATTTCATTTATTACATTAGAAAACCTAAATAACTACCGCATCATCATTAATAACTATATATTTTAATGATTTATATATTTTTGATTAAAACATATATATCAATAAAAAAAGACAATTTAGGAAACAATAAAAATTATTATTCTTATATTTACATTAATAGTATATAATAATATTATATTGTTTATTATCTTTTTTATATTGTTAGAATTATATAATTTTCATATAGTGGACAAATAGTACTCTAAATAAACACATAAAATTTTTTTATTTCATCCTAAATCTTGAAAATATACTTCGTATTTTTTCCTTCATATAAGTAAAATATATATTATATGTTTCAGTGTTTACATTCCTTTCTTATATGTAAAATTTAGTTATCAGGATGATCGTTCAATTTTTACATAAATGCTATAATTAAAAAAAGGATAAAAAGTTTGTACTTCAGATTATGGGTTTCAATTTTTATAAAAATCATTTATATTCCCATATATTTCATTGTTCTATTGAGACATTCTTTAATGAAACATAAACATATAAGAAATGACTAAAGATATTGTACATTTTAATTATTATAATATAATTTATTATATTATGGCATTTTTATGTATCATTTTTGCTTAATATTAATAATGAATATCTTGTTAATTTATAATTTTTATCATACAACAATTATTTATAGTATAAATTTGTAGGGGATTTTCCTGAACTACAAAAAATAATGAATACCGAAGAAACAACAGGGCAGTCGATTACAACAGGTAATTGTATCGGCAATGAAAAGAGTGTACCTCAAAGTTTTAATTCCACTATTAAGGAAATATGCGAAAAGGCTGATAATTATATTAGTATTATACAACGAGATTACTATAATAAATTTAATGAATCCCGCTGTATATATTTTTATTATTGGCTGTATCACAAAGTTGGGGTGCATAAGAATATAAATGAGACTAAAGATGTTTATAAATTCATGATAAGTCAATTTAATACTGATTACGGCGAACAATGCATGAATTATAAGGATATAATTATAACAGAAGAGGAAATGTTAAACCTCAAAGTTCTATATGACATGCACGTTAACCTTAATAACAAAAGTGGGATAACTAAAACATGCAATAAAATATGTGAATGTGCCAAGGAATGTGCTGATTTATATATGAAACAGAAGGATAAATGTAAGTCCAACACATTCCCCTATTTTTGTAATGTAATCGAAGAGTTCAGAAAAAAGTATAATGATAAAATGTCTTCTAGTAATTGTGATACTAATACCCCCAGTTCATTACCTTCCTTACAATCTAATAATGTTATAACTCTCACATTAATTCCAATTGTTGTAACTTTAGCAATATCTTCTTTGCTATCTATGTTGTATAAGGTTAATAATTATGTTATATGTGTATGCTTACACACCAATATTATATATTTAAGTAATTTAAAGTGAACAATTTTTTAGAGAACAACTCCTCATTTTTTATATTAATTCTTCTTATTATGAGGTAGTTCACTACATATGGTAGACATATTCGATATCAATTCATGAGGAAAAGAAATAAATATAATAATATAGATAAAGGAAGGAATATAACCCAACAATCTGAAATATGTAGATTTAATTTAAAAAATAACAGCTATCTTATATTATAAAATTTTCACTAATTTTATCATTATATATTTAATAATAAGATAATATTATATTTGAATATATATTATGTGATGTAAAAAATATATATAATAATACTTTTTCTAAATTTTATAAAAGAAAAATAATTATTATTAAAGAGAAAAGCAAAAATAAATATAATTTTTTTATAATTATGAGATTAGGATTAAAATAAAAAAAATAACTAGTTTTTAAAATATTTTTCAGTATGCGTATAAATATAGAGTATACTAAAAATAGGTACCTTCTTTTTCTAGATATAGTATATTGTTATTTAAAGGAATAGAAATATCAATATTATTAAGAGCATAATGATTATGTAATAATAATATAGTATTCTAGATAATATATTTGTACGTATGCAAAATAAAAATTTTATTAATGATTAAATATAGATTAATTAAACGATTACGTTATGCGTTATTACATTTTGTACTGTAAATTTAATGAAACATTTATTTCGATTTAACTTATACTCATATTAACTATATATTAGTATATTATTTGTACATAATTTATATAGCATTTTGAATAATTATACATGTTATATTTTGTCACATTTATGGTGTGCATAAATAACTTCCCATACTTTTTAATTATATATGGTACATGAAAAATAATATTTGTAATTTATTTGATACATTATATTGGATACATTTTGTTTACATTTTTTTATGTTCAGCTTTATATTAACTATTTTTAAATTTTAGTTAATTACGAATATTTTTATATTTTATATAATATTAGGGAGAACACCTTTCCAAACAAAACTGTTTTTAAAAAAATTATTCCAAAACATATATATTCTTATATGAAGAATTTACGAAATATTAAAATGTTATATTATTTATGTTATATTTGATAACACATAAGACATGTGTGAATAAATTTGTAATTTATATTTGTTCCCAGCCTACAATCTATATATGATCTAATATAAATTAATTTCAGTTATTAAAAAACATATCAATATATTATATACACAAAAGTATAATAAATTTATTATGACTTTTAGTATATCTCTTTTATATAAAGTTTTTATTTTGTATTAATTAATAATTTTTATTGAATTTAAA